GAGAAGGAGCTGATTTCCCCCATTGCTGTGCTCATTCCATACCCACAATCTTGCTGTCCTCTCGCTCCAGGTACCGCTTCCACATTAGGTTGGCCCGGTCATCATCACTACCACAGATGAAGGGACATGGGAGCACCCATGAGACAGCAGGAAAACTGGGCACACGAACACCACTGAAATGATTCACAGAGCCCTGTACCCCACCCATACCTCAGCTCCTTCTCTAAATTTCAAGGAAGAGTCAAAGGAGTAATGCTTCAGAGGGCTTTCTGGGGAAAGCCAAGGTAAGAGGAAAAGGAAGGGATGCAGACAAGAGGCGCATGCTCTCTTCCTCCCTCGGGCTTCAAGCCCTCTATGTACCTTGTTGTAATTAATTATCCCCTCCTCCTTCCACATGGCGACAACCCCAGCACTGCCTTCTGCTCCATCTGCCTCAGCCCTCCCATTCTGCATGGCTTCTCAGACCATTCTCTAGGCCATGCATTTCCTGGACCCTATACCCTCAGTCTTGACTAACTCTGCTCTGGGAAGGAAAATGTTACTGGTAAAGTGCTGGGGAGAAGAGGGAGGGAGAGTAGCTTTACCTTAAGTCAGGTTCTTCCAGCAGAGCCCCTCCACAGCGGGGTGGACAGGGGGCTGGACTACTGGCCAGGATTGGCGGAGCCCGGCGGCCTCGTCGGTTGATTTCAAGGTGTAGCCGCTCCATGAGGAGCTTCAGGAACTCCTGGGCATCCTGCTGGCTACAGCCAAAGAGTATGGGCAACTGATCCCCCTAGTCCACAGACATAATCCCCTGCCAGACACTGGTCCCCACTTCCTGGATTAAGGATATCCCAAGGCTCAAAACAATGCTGCCAGGGCCCCTGCTTGGCCCTATCCCCAGATATGGCGAGAGAGAAATTCCATACCCTCCAGCTCTCCTACCTGTATCCAGAGAAGGAGGGAACGTATTTCTGGAAGACAGCTCGGAATCGAGTAGGATTCACAGCCTCACAGGAGTCAGGGTGCCACAGGGCACCAATCACATCTGCAAAGGCTATTAAGGTGGGAGCGAGAAAGGGAAACAAAGGTTAGTGACTAGAAGAGGCAAGCAAGAGGAGACTGAGGTGGAAAACAACCTTTACAAAGTAGGCGCCAGGAAAAAGATACAAATGCCAGATTTGAGGGCTGGGGCTGCCAACACTGGCAGTTGGACCTGCTAGGGGTTGGGGAGAAGAGGACTTGGGGGGGCAGGAGTTGTTGACCCACCTTCAGTGAGCTCTTGGGCTCGGCCCCCTCCAGGCACCTCTTGCCGGAAGTCCCTTCGCAGACAGAAGTCCCGGAGAGGCCGAGTGCTGCTCAAACACTGTAGCACGGCATTCAGGAAGCACTGGGGAGCAGCAGAGACACTGCTGTTATCTCTCCAGACCAGGCCTAAGGAGCCTAGCAGAGCTTCAGAGCTCTCCTTCCCCAAGCCAGCAGGTTCCCAACCCCAGCACAGGTTCACATTCCTGTTAGACAGGAAGGACAGGAGAATGACTCTTACCGTGTTTCCCAGATTTCGGAGACCAACATGACCAGAGCCCAGAAGCAGTGTGTGATGAGCCTGGAAGGTCAGAGTGCAGTCAGCAGGTTCCCATATATCATGTGGCACTTTAACCTTTCAACAGCATGCTGCCCATTGCTTTGCCCACCCAATACTTCACCCCAAACTTTATCCTTTCTCTCACTGGGTATTGGGGTCTCCCTACCTCATTGGCCATGAGTAGTAAGCCCATCACAGCTGAATGTACCACGGATTCAGCCATGGCAGTCCCACCTGTTCCCCACTTACTCCTCTGCCCAGCTAGCCGGCAATGCAGCTCCTGGGGCAACTCCCCAAGCACTGGCATGGTTGCCCAGCTGCTCCCCACTCCCACCTTGCTGCTTCCAAGTCCCCCTCCTGCCCCCGTGGCTCCTTCCTGCCCCCTCTCCTGATAGCTCCAAATGCAACCAGCCTAGTTCATTTGGCTTGAGAAATGGGCAAGCACACTAGCTCACATTTTCTGAGCCCGCCCCTCCTCAGCTCCAGAGATTAATTAGGCCTAGGTAGTGTCCTAGGAGAGAAGGCTCTGCAAGGGAAAGTAAGGGCCTGGGGGACCCAAAAGAGAATTCCAAATGGTTGGGTTAATTTCCTAGGAACTGAAGTGGCGCAGCATGCTAGGGAGTGACAGACAACCTCAAAAGGGTACTTAAGTAAGGGAGAGAAGAGTCCAAATGCTGTAATGAGGGGCTAAAAAAGGAACTTGAGCCAGGCCGTGTGGATCCATGGCTGAACATCCACTGGAACCTGGAGGTCAGTTTCATCCCTGGTCAGAGTACATGCCTGGGTTGTGGGCTCAATCTCTAGCAGGGATTGTGCAGGAGGCAGCCAATCGATGATTCCCTTTCATCACTGATGTTTCTCTCTCTCTCCCCCTCTCCCTTCCTCTCTCTGAAATCAATAAAAAATAAAAAATAAAAAAAAAGGAACTTGGGAAAAGGGGCAAGGAAAGCCATACTATGGCAAGAAAGCTGGAGGAACATGAGAACGGAAGGCCACGTGTGCTGCAAGTCCTCACCGTCTTGTCATCAGAGTAGAAGGGCTCCGAGGGCCGGGCAGATAACACATGGAAAGTACCATGGGAAGCAGGGGGCTCCATCCGTATGCTGAGCAAGGTGGGGGGCCCAGGAAAGCCCCCGAGGCGGCGGAGGGAGGTGCTCCGTCTCAGAGTGGGTGGTTCCGGCCTGAGCGCCAGGCGGCTCAGCGCAGCCCCCAGCTCTCCAGCGCCTCGGTGCCCTCCCATTGGACGCAGGTCCCCACTGCTCACAGACTTGGATCGGGCTAGGTTGGTCCTGGATGGGAGAGGCAGAGCCACAGCTGGGGGTGGTGAGCCAGGCAGGGGAACTCCATGATCTGCCCGAAGGGGACCTCTGGTACGAGGGCCTGAGGTCCGTGCCCGTCCTAGCTCCAGTTTCTTGAGCCGTTCCTCAGGCGGACCTGGCCGGGGAGGCAGAGGCCGTAACATGGGGTTTGGCCCAGGGGCTGGGTTTCGGCGCTCCTTGCTGCGGGCCCGGGGGCCAAACGGTAGTTTGGATCCCACTCGAGGCTGGACATTAACAGGGGGCTCTCTGGTCCGGCCCAGGCGGTGCTCGGAGGCCTGGGGCATTGTGGACACCACAGGCTGGACCTGGGAGAAGAGGAGAGGTCGGCATATGAGTATGCACGCAGGGGAAACCTAAGCCACCATACTAGCACCTGCATGCCCTGACGGCAGGAACCATGTTACCATATCAGTCACTGCACCCCCGGCACCTAGCACAATGTTCCACACCACGTAAATACTTAGTATCTGTTGAGTACAAATGAGTGAGCGCCAGCGGACCACTGCTTGGACTCCTATATTCCTCACTACCTCCCTGCAGAAAACAGCTTTACCGAGAAGCCAATGATAGCCCCCATCTCAGCTGTCTTTACCATCTACACGCTCGTGACAAGGGCCCCCATACCTGGGAAGTCAAGTGGGATGTACCCAGACTCCCTTAGGCCCCCTGGTCAATGGGGGTGTGGGTGCAAGGACGACAGCCCAGAAGACAGCATCCCATCCTCAACCCCTGGCCCTCCGGGCTGCAAAGGAAGCCGACCAAATGGGTGACTTGCGACTCCCTCCCCCACCCTGGACCTCCAACGCGGTGCTGGGGCTCAGGCCTCGGCGGGAGGGCGGGCACTCCCTGACCCCCACCTCTGCACCTCCCGCACCGCGGCAGGGCCTCGGCGGGTCCGCCCCCCTCGAGGGCAGAAAGGCCGAGGCCGCTGATTGGCTCCGGAGCCCGGCGCTGTATTCCCCGCGGCCCCTGCAGCCCAGTTCCCCCGGGCCCGCCCG